GGGGGGAAGGGCATAACTCTGTATTTTCTCTCCATGCTGGTCTCTTCTCTAAATAATTATCGATCTATGATTTTTGCCTGCTTGGCACACTGGTAAGTACCTTGGCATAGTTCTCCTCCCCACACAACTCCTAACTGTAGTTGCCATTTGTGGGAGAATTTATCCAATCCAAGCTATTCTGCTATTCCTGAAACTGGGAGGGCTATACCCCCTCTGAGAAGTGGCAGCCTGCCATCAACACTGCCTGTACTGTGCTTTCCTTACCTAGCAGCAGGCAACGTAGAAGATTGGGATGTGGCTTACTCCTTTTCCCAGCTGCCCGCTATTCCACTGTGTAGACACATGATCACTTACAAAGCCGGTCTCCTACAGGTAACCACACCAATGACTGGTCACTTCTCAGCTCGTGGCAGCAGGTTATAAGATCATCTGAAAAGAAGCCTTCAAGCAGATGATCATGAACACGCTCCTGTTCGCGGCCTCACTTGATAGGCACTAACTACTGGATCTTTGAGAAAGAAGGAATGTGTCCACTTTCCTGTTTACTCTGTGTAAAACTTTAAGAAATTGTCACTTCTGTCTCTCTTTAGCGAGCCTGTCAGATTCCCAGGTTCTCACTGAATGGTGCGCATGGAGATCTAGAGTCTTCAATGGGCAAACCGAGTCTTTGCCTTGATTCACTTGAGACAGCTAGGGCTCATCAACCTTTAACCAAGAGGGATCATAAGCATGCTCATTCTTTGAGTAAAATCACACTGCAAACAGGTTGTGAGGTGGGATAGAAAGTTCCATTTTCATGGCCAGAGCTCTAGCCTTCAGAGATAGCCTCAGCAGGGCTGCCTGATTTGTGACAGTAAGTACAATATTGCTTCTAGGGTTAGCGGATGTATGTGCACAGGTTGATTCCCAAAAAACCGTGTTTAGACATGTTTCTGTGATCAGTGGAGCTCTACTTCCTGACTCATCCTCATATGTGCTGGACTTCTAATCCTCAACCCAACCCCTGAGCGACCTCTGCTCCTGAGCTGGTACACATCGGATGCTGTCCTTGCTCAGATGTCACCAGCTAGAGTCCAAGGAGCGGGTTGGGGGTATTTCCGAGATTGCCCATCCATCCTTCTTATGTAAATTAACCCCTGCCAGTCTCAGCACTGGGTAGGTCTGGGAAGGCAGGAATAATGTGCTACTAGATCTTCTTTCAAGTACAAGGTTATCCTTCTGAGAACTAGGGCTCCTCTTCATGCTTCAAGCAGGTTTTGGCACAGCCTGGGTCCCGATTTCCCCTTGGCACAGTGGCATGGTCGTGGAGGGGGCACGGTACATAGGCTCCGAAATCTGACGGGAGTCTGTGTTCCAATCCCCAGACTTGGCCACTCGACCTTGAGTACGTAAGTTCCTTCTTTGTGCTTCAGTAAGATAGGAAGAGGGGATAGTGCCACTTGCTTAGGACACAACAACTGCTGAATCACCATGGTTGTTACTATTGTCATTAAGAACAACCAGTCATGGTGATAGAGTCTGTGAACCTTTGATTGAGATAGATATAAATCAGTAACGCTGAAAAACCACATAGAAGAAGAACCGAGTGAGAAAAAGATCAAACGAAGCAAGTTTGGCTTCACTCTCTCTATAAGTCACTAGTCGGTTGCTCATGGAATGTTTGTGGGCACCCTGAGCTTGTGTTGTGGTGGGAAAAGAATCTCCGATACGGGCTCTTCAACTCTTGTAAGCAGTGCAAACAGCCCACTGCATGCTGGGAAGGAAGGTGTGATACTCAGTGTCCACACTGACTCCGCTGTTGGCTGCCGTAAAGAACCTCAGTGTGGTGCCTTTCCTTAAACTCACAGGTGATCTTTCCCTCCCCTTCCACAGATAATTGTGTCCAGCGGACCACCAGGACATCCGTAGAGAATGTACACCACAACCCACCCACCATTGAACTCTTGCACCGGCCCAGGTCACCCATCACGACAAACCACCGGCCTTCTCCTGACCCTGAGCAGCGGCCTCTCCGGTCCCCCCTGGACAACATGATCCGCCGCCTCTCCCCGGCCGAGAGGGCCCAGGGGCCGCGGCTCCACCCGGAGAACAACCACCAGGAGTCCTACCCACTGTCTGTGTCTCCCATGGAGAATAACCACTGCCCACCATCCTCGGAGTCCCACCAGAAGCCATCCAGCCCCAGGCAGGAGAGCACACGCGTGATCCAGCTGATGCCCAGCCCCATCATGCACCCCCTGATCTTGAACCCCCGACACTCCATGGATTTCAAGCAGTCCAGGCTCTCCGAGGATGGGCTGCATAGGGAAGGGAAACCCATCAACCTCTCGCACCGGGAAGACCTGGCCTATATGAACCACATCATGGTCTCTGTGTCCCCGCCTGAGGAGCACGCCATGCCCATCGGGAGAATAGCAGGTGAGTGCCCGCCATGCCACCTCAGCACCAGGGGCTTGCTCTCACCATTGCCCTGTTCCCCCTCACCGAGGCAGCTCACAGCTGATGCCACTGCATGGGGCGCGGGGGCACCACGGAGCAAGCGAGTGCTGTGCTTCCTGGAGGTTTCGCAACCATGCGCTGTATGGAAAGCCATCTCTGGATCGTTCCGACATAGATCCTCTGAGTGCGGTCAAATGCCAGCCTTTAGCTCGTAGCTGAGCACAACCATTGACACCAAGGCGCTCTGCTCGCGCTCTCTGTCTCTGTCTCTGTCTCTCTCTCTCTCCTTGTGCCTAGCCTCACACTAGTCCCAATTAGGGGCCTCCCAGGCTCTGTGAGGGCAAGTCGAGGCTTCTGCCTGGATGAGGGAAATCCCTAATGGGATGGTTAATGAGCCACTGGGATGGGGTAGTTAATGAGCCTCAGAAATGTTAAGAAACAAATGTCCGATGTCCAGCTGACAAGGAGAGACACATCAGAATCGAGGCTAAGTGAAAACATTGAAAATAAAAGGTTTATGAGCATGTTAATGGCCCCATCCTGAAGTTCCCAGCAGCTAATTAATGGCCAACCCCAGCAGAAAGAGCCTTTGTCTCAGACTTGGGGCCTGTAATCCCATCCCATGGGCCGTAACTCAGCTGAGCCTTCACCTTGGAAGGAGGTCGGAGGAGAAAACAGACTTGGTGATATTGGAGGCAGGTGTTGCTGCATCACCCAGACAAAGGAAACAGAAACTGCTCTTAGCCGCTTCCTCCTGTGTGAGGAGAACCCAGTTTGCTTACCTGAAGCCCGAAATTAAACCCACTGAACCAAACTGCACACTGTATAGCTGCTGGTCTGCCCATAATTGCATGGTACCATCCCTCCAGAAGGCGTAAGTAACCCTCCTGCCACTCAGCAGGAGTTCCCTTGTTTTCCCCTAGGGCATCTGTCCACTCAGCGACCACGTGTTGAGCACCTACTGTGTCCTGATGAGTGCTCTTGGAAGTAGGGGCTGGGGTAGATTGGCCCCACAGTCCCTCTCCTCCAGGCATTTCATGTCTGGAAGGAGAGACAGATGCGCAGAGCACTAACTGAGATTCGAAGCAGGATGAGCTAAGGCTCGCCATCCCATAGGTTAAATGCAGAAGCTTCCATTGAGCACGTACTGTGTGCCAGGTCAGAAAGTGTGGTGGGAGCAGAGCGGACAGAAGGTTCGTTTGTTGGGACCCAGGGAACTGAGGGATGCTTTGCAGGGGAGGTCCTGGAGCGTAGAGCTGATGGAGGAGGTGCCATCAGTCATGGTCTTGAGGACATGCCAGGCTGGTGAGGCAGGAGAGGCTGAGGCCTATGCAGAGAACAGTAACAAGCACCCCTGCTGCATGAGCTGAGAGTCCAGCTCACCAGGAGCGCCGGGCAATGCCAGTGACAACAAGGCGACACAGGCAGGTGCTCCCACTTCACCAGCCTGTTTCTCAGAATCCCGTGTTTCTGGCCCACGTTCTCCACCCCACCCCCAACCCCACCCTCACAGTGTTTCACAGCACAGCGAAACCGGGCCGTGAGCACCCTTAGGTAGATGAGACCTGATTCTAGTTGCTTTCGTTTTCTAAATGCCTCTAGAACAGAAATACCATAAATGAGCAGCTTTAAAGAACAGAAATTAAATGTCTTACCTTTGGGGAGGCTAGAGCTCACCCATTCAGGGCACCTGCTCCCCCGGGGAAGGTGCCCTTGGGTGCAAGGCTGTAAACATTGGGCCTTTAACTCAAAGATCAGTGATGCGGGCCTGCCAGCCGCTCTTTGGGAGGAAGATGAGGCTGTCTGCACCCAAAACAATTTTCAGCCCCTGGGCTGAAATTTGCGGAGCAATTCTGCCCTGTCCTGTAGGGTCTGTATGAGTAGGCCTCGTCTCCTTCGCAGTGGATGGTCTCTACAGGAAGTTTCTCTCCCACCCGCCTGCCCGCCTTCTCTTTCTCTCTTTCTCCCACCCTCACCCTACTGTGGGCTCTGGGAAACCAATCTTGTCTTGACTCACTGGCCCTTTTTAACTTAAATAATCTGATTCTAAATTTTTCTCTGGCCTCAAGAGCACCTCTAATGCTGTCTTCATTTTATTGTGATTTTTTTAAAAATTACATCAGGGAATGCAGAATTAGGAAAATAAAATGGCAAAGAAATGTGATTTAAACTTTTTTTTTTAATGAAATGATATATATATCTGGGATTCACTTACATGATCCCGTAGGGATGGGGCAGGGCAACGGGTGGAGCATACATAAAATAAGATGAGCTGTGAGCTGATGGTTGTACAGCTGGGTAATGTGGGCGGGCATATTATTGTCCTCTCTCCTTTTACAGATCTATTAGAATTTATTTTAAGAGGGAAATCCCTGTAAAAGGAGAACAAGGGGAAAGGAGGTGAATAACTTAGAAGTAAAGAGCTCAGGCAAAGCTCTTTATTAGCTGAAACCCCACCTGCCCAAGATAAGCACGGAAAGAGCCCGGGTCCCTCTATTGCTGTGAGGCCTAACGCGCAATCTCTGCAGTTCTCCAGCTGAGAGCCTCCTCGTCTTGTCTCCTGCATGGTGTGCAGAGCAGTGCTGGACGTTTCTGCAGATACTGTTCACCAGCTTGTGATTCTCTAGTCCTGCTACATCCATTTTAGGTGGAAGGGGAAGCTGGACCCCAGAGAGGAGCCCTTTTGCACAAGGTCAGACAGGGTGGTCCCACACTGGGTTCACAGGGGAAACCTTGCTGCTGTGCTGGCCGCTGTCCATAGTGCTGCCCGCATGAACCCAGCTGCCAGTGCCCGGGTACCTTGTCACGGCTTCCTCTGTGACTCCTCTGTCTTCTCCACAGACTCCTTGGGAACTGAAGCTAAGTCCACAAAAACCAGAGAGTCAGGCCATTTGGACAGACACAGTTTATGCAAAGGAAAACCCGTCACCATCCAGTCCCTGCCGACTGGTGGCGACCGGTGGGACCAGAGGAACCTCCCCCAGAGGCTTGGTGCCCATAGAAACTAAAGAGAGGAAGGGTTCCTCCTTGTCTTTAGACTCGGTGTTGTTCGCTCCATCAAAGTGGCCTCCCAGCCCAACAGGGTCAGACCGTTGGTATCCCCAGGGTTTTCGTTAGCTAAATTCCATAACTAGGTTGCCAGGCCTTTCTTCCTAGTCTGTCATGGTCTGGAAGCTCACTGTAACCTGTACTGCATCACAGCATCACAGGGTCCTCCACGGACAGAATCAAATCTGGGTCCCCCGAGGGAAAAGCGAGAATTCTGACTCAGAACCTGCCCTCTCTTTAGGCTGCAGGAAGTCAAATGTGCACTTAAAATAAGCCCAGGACGCAGATCATTTGTGGGGCTATATGAGGAAGCCCTGGTGGCACAGTGGGTTACACATGGAGCTGCTAATTGTGAGATTGGAAGCTCACGCCCACCAGCTTCTCTCCAAGGGAGAAGAATGAGGCTTTCTGCTCCTATGAAAATTTACAGTCTTGGAAATCCCAAGGGGCAGTTCTGATCTGGCCTTGTAGGGTCGATGACATTGGTTTTTGTTTTGTTTTAAATGAACTCTTTCAATATGACCCAAGCCAGAGTCTATTCCAAGTCATGGTGGCTCTAAACAGGGTTCCCAAGTCTTTGTAAATCTTTACAGGAGCAGACAACCTTTGCGGTCTCCCTTGGAGAAAAGTGACTGGTGGGCTTGAACTGCTCGCCCTGCGGTTAGCATTTACCCTGCAGCACCACTGGGGTTCCTTTTCAATATGTCAGTGTCCCATAGAACTGTTATTATTAGTGCTCTAAAGGCACATCGAAATCTCCAAGAGCATTTTCTAACCAGTTGAGATGACAGCCCTGCATTGGAAAGTTCCTTTCAGCTCTCCAATTCTGTGATTGAACACTTAGCCTTGGTTTTGTCACCCTCTGTGTGAGTCTGTGTACATTAGAGAAACAAATCCACCGAAACTCATATGTATAAGAGAGAGTTTATGTGAATGTTAAGTGCACATCAAGAAAACATCCCAACCCAGTGCTGCCCAAACCCACAAGTCCAACATTAACTCATATGTCCGACACCAATCCACAAAGTCCTCCTCCATCTCACAAAACACATGCAATGATGCCGACTGCAGGAGGAAAACCGAGTCAGTGAATGTGTAAGCATCTCAGTGCTGGCAGGGATCTCCACGCAGCTGCTCCAGCACCCTGGGCTGCACTGGGGTAGGTCCATGTGGCTTCTCAGGGATGTCTTACAGGAAGTGAGCCTTGCCAGCTGAAGCAGGGAACTGGCTAAGGAAGCTACATCCTGGTCCCACCATCAGAAAGCAAGAGACCTGAGAACCAGAAAGGCTAGGCTCACCAAGCCATTTATCTCTCCGCTCTTTAGTTACTCCCACATGTGTTTATCAGCCAGGTTGGCACAATCAATCTTAACTATCTCACCCTCCAAAGAGCATGCATCACAATCCCAGGCTCCCCATCTGATTTGTCACACCCTTGCCTTTCTTCCCCAGCCTTGTGGATGTGGTTTTGGATGACTCAGTTTCAGGTAAAATCGATCCTGCTTACTAGAGGTCAAATCCATTGGGTAATTCCCGTGTTCCAGGTAAAGTTCTGTCATTGAAGAGCCATAAAAATCCTTTAAATCTCTAGAAAGCAGCTGTTATATTTTTTAAAAAGCAACTTGGTTCCTTTGAGCTTTTAAAATGTGCATAGCACTGAGACCAGTAGTGGTGCTATAGCCTGTTGCACTGATGAATTCCGTCTCTAGAGGGTGAGATGGGAAATGCTACTTACCAACACGATTCAGAAAGCACCACCATGCTGCTGTGGTTTGCTCAGGCACACAAAGATTGATGCATGTGGGCGCCTTCTGGGTTTAAGGTGCTGCAGCCCATTCTCTAGGGGCATTCAAGGAGATGCCAGATGCACTCTTCATCACCATAGAGCTGGGCACAGTTCGTTATGAAAGTGCAGTAAATAAGTGGCAAGT